CTCGTACCTCTTTGACCATTTCTAACACGTACACGCACCAACCGTCCGGCACTTGACATTCCTCAAGGTTTTAGTGTTTAGTGTTTCGCACGAGTACTCGAACATGTCGCATATGGAAAGAGACGACCCTCCTTCGACTAGCTCTCATGCAAGTGAACGTTATCGACGAAACTAATGGCTTCTCCAAAGGCCGTTTGTAACAACGAACGACAGAGTACTGTCCACGTATGATTTTCGAAATACTTATTCGCCGATAACAGATGAAACCGTTTCGGTCGTTTCCCGGAGGTACGTATGCCGCGAAACCGCGCGGTCTATAGAATAATTAGTAAACTCTGAAAGATGCGCATATATCGGTACACCGGGTACCGGCAACGCGCCTTTTAAAAGTCCTCGAGCTCTCCCAAAGTCGAACCTGGTACACGAATGCAACCGAAGAAACTTGAAAGGCGACACCAATTGCGAATAACCGTAATACACGGCGAAACAAGTGTAACGGACGTCACCGGATCGAATCGAATCGTTTCCGCGATACCGAGTTGTGTCGCGTGCCAAGCTGCTTCGAACAAAACTCGAGAACACCGTACAATGTATAAACGTATGAGAATACGAGCAACAAACCTCTTTACTACTTTGTGAAAATGTACTGTGATGTGCGTCCGAGTGATCGCCGTTCACGGTATTTTCTCCTGCAACACAAAGTACAAAGCGTTACATCCATGTATACACATCGCCGCGCGACACGTTCAATCGTAAGCTCTATTCTCAGCTGCTTCTCCTCGCCAAAGTAACGTTCATCGACCGAGGTTACAGAACGTGCAAAAGTTAAGGAGTTGTCGATACCAAAATCAAGCGCATGCTTACCTTGTACATGGAATTACCGTTACATCTAACGTATCGCTCGAATGATTACTCAGAAAAAGAAACGGATAGGCGAATTCTTTATGCAAACTTGCTCGGCTGATGATGCATGCAGGTCGAGGCGTCGTTTATCAATGGAGTCGCAATTTTCTTTCCTTCTCTCTTTACCAGGCAATTTATTTCGGTTCGAACAGGATACACATGCTCGATACACAATGCAAGCAGGAAACATAAAAAACCAAAAGAAGAGACAGAGAGAGCGGAAGAAAGAGAAGAAGAAAGAAGAAAAACAAGGCGAAATATAAACGAGGAAAGAAACATTCTTTAAAATAACGATCAATCGCCGGTGGTCGTTTCGATTGCAGTTGTGTCGATAGTGGAAAGTATGCGCCCGTATATATTAAACGATTTAGGTGATCGTTAAGCGGTCGAAACAAAACAGCTTACTACAATACTGACTGTACGTATACAACTGCGACACGTTACGAAATCTGTATGAAATCTGTATGAAAATAAAAGCAAAATAAAAAAATCAACTGAAAATACGTGTCTTAGCGATTCAATGTGCAAATAAAATGGTCCGACAGGTACTCGAGACTCTTAACTGAATATCGTTGAAAACTACTCGAATAACAAAGTGCCCGATCGTTGGACAGACAACTTGAGAAAGTAGCGAAGGTATTCACGTTGCTCCCGGTACAGGTTCAATCGTCATCGGTTTATCTTCCTCGACGTTCAGATAGATGACCGCGATTCTTTGATCGGCCTGGTGATCATCGGTAACGACCGACTCTCTCGCTTCTTCCTCTTCTTCTTATCTGCTATCGCGTCTCTGATTTCTTCCTCTACGGGTGATAAAGGACACTTTCCATCGCGACTGATTCGACTGACGCAATAAATGCATTCGTCGCAGATCTCGAATGACTTGGAGAGTGTCTCGTCATCCGACAGATTCTCCGATCCCGATAGTTGCAACGACTCCATTTGCTCGTCGCTGTTCTCGCACGAATAGGCAGCGCTAGCCTCTCGTTCTGCACAATTCACGCTTTCGAAACTCGAAAATGGACTTTCCGCTACTGTCCCCCCATTATAGGCAATACGTTCCGCATCATTTTCGTTGGGATTCTCGCATCTCCGACGATCCGTCCTCTGATCCGTTTCCTCATCGTCGACAATGTTTCGGTAACCACGACTCGTCTCGACTCGAAAATTCAATTCCACGGCTCTATCATTGTCACTCGTCAAGTTTCTCTTGGCTATCGTACGAAACTCGAAAATCGCATCGCACTCTGTTCCGATTACCGCCTCCTCTCTACTGGCCGATTCCGTGCTTTCTTTGTTCGTTCGAATCCAGCTGACTGGAACTTGGACACAAACATCGCGCGATTCCTCTTCTTTCGATCGATGCACACCAGCCGATTCTCTCTCTTCGTCGATAGCGTTTGAACCGGCAGCTTCCTTAAGCTCCACGTTTGCACTGTTTTTAGCATTTTTAAACGACCAATCAACCTTTACAACCTCCGTTAGGATATTCGTGAATTTACGTTCGAGTTTATGCTTGTCTATATCAGCTGTATCAGCATCGATTACATGGTGGACAATTTCGTGTACAACAAAGAGAGGTACACTTTCTTTTCTGTTCTCCGTGAAGAAACTTTCCTGGCTCGTTCCGTTCGCATCCATCTCCACGAGTTCGCAATGATCTTTCAAAGTCGACAACAATGTCGAGGACGCGAGAGCTTCCGAAGACAAGGGCGAAGAACAGCCGGTGAAGGAAGACGAAGAAATACGCGGCGTGACATGCTGATCGATGAATTGCCTGTTACTACAAAGGGTGCAAACTCTCTCGAAAATTTCTGCGACGAGACAAAAAATATTCGCATAAGTATCGTTAGCATCGAGTTCGGCGATAATTTCGTTCGCGCTGTCGCTAATGTCGTTGCGAAAAGCATCGTCGTTGGTGTCGAGTAATCGAAGAATCGTGACATCGGGTAATTCCAATGTGTCGGATCCTTCGTTTGAACGGTCATCGGTACGTTCGCTGACGGACGAACAAGTTCGCAAATTCGTCGATTCAAAAGTATATTCGTCGAACCAGAGACGGTGGTCATGTTTTCCATCGAAATCGCGTTCCACGGTTTTCCACCACTGTTGTTTGCATTCAAAGTTTTTCTTCCCGTTCGATCGTGCACGAGAATACAGATTGTTGTTGGGTTCGTCGCGTTCGACCAACGACAGCAACGACGCTCGTAACCCGCCCTCGTCCAGAGTATCCGGATACTCGGAGTCTACGATTGGCGTTAATCTGTAGAGTAACGTCATATCGACGGGATCTAAATGGTATTTGGTCGAGGCTTTGAAATCGGAGTAACGTAAAGCGTTCAATTTAGTGTTCGATGAACGGAGATTTGCATCGATATCGTTTACAATTTCGACGATACGTTTCGAGGCGTTCGTCAGTTCGGCCGACAGGTCATTCTTTCCTGTCTCTGCGCTGCCTTTACGAATCTTTTCGTTCGGGCAAGCATTAGACGACGAACTTGCTTGTAATTTCGGCATTCCTTCTCTTCGCTCTGTCTCCGCGAAACAAGAGAAGCTCGACTTCTCAACGTCAGACACGTATCTCGAGCGATCCAAGGTGGCATCTCGAGGAACAACCTTCGGAGAGTACGATATTATCGTGGGTGTCATTCGCTGAGCGATAACACCGCTGCGAGCTACCTCTAACCGAGGTTCGTGTCGACGACAGATACAGTCTTGGCAGTGGCAGCATTTCTGACTATCGACGCGCATCTCATTCTCGATCACTTGGTAATTTTCACTTTCGCTGCAGCACCTGCTCGACGAATCACGATCTGCAACCACATTGTCCAAAAACTCTATCTACGTTCTCTCGCAGAGACAGAAGATACTTGTTATGATCACGGATGCTCACACCAGTATGCCTGAAACTCGTCGGATTCGCGAGAAACCTGGGTAAAGAAAAGTAACGCGTTTCTCATCTTTTGCCTCGACATACTTTCATATTTCCTTCTTTCCGAGACCCGACGGTAATTGGTGATTACAAGCGTTACGTGAGACGCGATGGGACACGAAACAAAGCATTAATCGTGCATTGCAGCTATAAAGACAACAGGCAGTGTATAAAGAAAAGAAAAAATTCATAATAAAGCTTCGAGTCGATCGACGAACACGCGAACATGCGGGTGTGCGAATTTACGGTCATGCACGGTGCAAGCGTTGGTGATCATAAATGAAAAGGTATTGAAGAGGGGATAGAAAGTGGAGGGATAAATGGATTGGCCTTGTTCTTTGATTGCTAAAAGTCTAATGTCATTCTCACAAATATCTTGTCAGAGATCAGTGGAAAATGACTAGAAATGAATAGAAACGAATAGAAGTTGAACTGCCGTGAAATATTGCTTCGTTCCTTCTCAATGGTTCAACTGTGACCCTTGAGAGTGAACGACGCCCGAACCGAATTGTCTAGGTGTCCACGCGAGAGAGAAAGCGAGAGCGAGAGCGAAAATAGCGCTTTCGCGTCAACACCTAAAATACTGTTAGTAAATTTACTTACCGTCGCTCAGGACAACCTCTGGCTGACTCGGCACAGGCACTTGCTTCGTTTCTATTCGTAGTACACGGGGTTCTACGAATTAAACGATTACACGTGGATACGTTATGGAAATGGATCTTCTACGACGAGTAACACGTAGATCGATTATGCAAACGTTTCAACGGTTATTATTTACCATCTCTGCTTTCTTCTTCCGTCTCGGAAGTTACCGAAACCGGCGATTGTATTGGACTCTTTGCGGTACTCGACTCGTGTGTCGCGCGGCTAACGTTGAACGACGACAATGCCTCCGATTCCGACTGGGACTCGTCGTCTGCGTAGAAAGAAATGTTGACAACGTAACACCACACTCCTCTCGCTTCGATTCCATATCACACTTACACGGATCTCCTTTCTGTTTCCGTTCGACTTCTTTCTTGTACTGATCAAGCTCTTGGTCCGTAACAGCGTCGAATGGATTTTTCGCGTACGGAGTCTTATAGACCATCGCGTTGTGCTGAAAGCCTCTTTGAATGATACCTTTACTAGCTGCCCCCACTAAAACCACTTGCTCGCCTGTTCCGCTAATCGTGGCATCCTTCCGTGCAAATGGAAAGCAAATGTCGCATTAATTCCCTTTCACGCGAGCCGAATCTTATACGCGAACGTACACGTAGAGTAAAACGCGAGAAATTGAAATGTCGGATAATATGGTGGTTGGACGGTACGATGCACGTTACCTGCATCTTCTTAGCTTCTTCCCATGTAACGCCTTCCAATATGTGAGACTGTGGCCCAGCCGATATTTTGTCGGCTCTTCGGTAATCTTTGATCTAAACAACGTAGAAACGCAACGTACAAGATCGAGCAGCTTGACGCGGATCAAAGATAACTGCTCAAATCATTTGGGAATGAGAATCGACAAAGTGACAAAGTGTCACAGAAAATACTTACGCACAGGAACTTACCTGTTGTTGTATTTGCTTAAACTCCTTCGGATTGGTATTTTTCGGCACAAATTGAAGAGCACTGTCAATCTTCACCGGAGTACTGCTATGGGTCGGCGAGCCGTCTGACACCCACTGCACACAAAACCAGAACGTTAGTCGACCCCCGCCAATAATTTAACATACGATACAGCATCGCGTCAATGTGTTTCTCGCACTCTCTGCGTACGCTTATGTGTGCCTGCTGTGTCGATGAAGTCTCCGCGAATTGCAAGGTACAGTTTCATCTTTATCACGGTACCGAGAGCTATCGATGCTGCAATTACGAGTATCGTTCGTCCATCGAATTCGAGAGTTCGAGTTCTTCGGCTAGTTTTGCCAACTGGTCCGGAAATCTACAATTTCCTTTTCTCAGAATCAATCCATCCGAATGAATTTTCAACGCGTCCGAATGTATCGATCGCGAACACCTCGAGCTTACAGTTTCATCTCTGTATTTACAGGGTCGATCGATCTGGTTTTGTAAATGCAGTGGGACGAAGAATCGAACATTCATCGCTTCGACGACACGATTGACAGGCACACATTCATACACGGTTCCGAGAACCAATACGAATCAACCTGCTAGATCTTAGATTCGCCGCAACACGGTTCTGCCGCGAATTCCGAAGGAAAACGATCCGATCGTTTAAGACGACGAGTCTCTGATCGAATCGCGCGCATCTCGGCGTTTCTCCCTCCTTCTACTGTGTTGCGAACGCGCTATCGTACCGACCCGCAACCGTCAAACGAAAAGATCCTATTACTTTCGAAGAAATTACCTATACACGATGAACAGTACAGATATATTTATTTGAATATCAAGAAGCTACAATGTAGAAGTTTAGTGAATTCTATATAAACGGTGACAATGATTTCAACACGTATCAAATGATACACGTCACGTACGATAGTTGAACAGACGGAATTACATTTTTAATCAAATCGCAAGCAGATTTATGCGAGCCATCTCGAGTCTTGCGTTATAAATCAAGTTTTCCTTCTTACTTTCCTTCCCCCA